CCCTAAATCCCTAAACCCTAAAACCCTAAACCCGCCGTCCTGGCAATGCTTGCGGCCCACGCTTTGGGGCTCCAAGGTCAAAGCTTCAAGGCTTGGGCTGCCTTTTGAGGTTCTTAGTAGAGATTCAAATATCCCTTAATTAAGGAATAGACCTTAAAGTATAGTAGGATCCCTAATCTGATTTAGCCCTCAACCCTAAACCCTAACCCCTAAACCTAAGGTATATTCCTTTATTAAGGGATATTGGAGTCTCTGGGTTTCAGGGTTTAGGGCGTGCTACTCCGCGCTCAGAGCCGGCCGTGCAACTCTCCCGTTTAGGGTTTAGGGGTTTAGGGTTTAGGGGTTAGGGCTCAGGGTTTAGGGTTCTAGACCTTGATCGAAAAAGTTCGCATCCCCATTCTTCCTCCACCCAAACCTATTTTCAATCTCAGAAACCGTGGTCCAACATGCTGATCACGGAATGGAGCCCTAAAGAAACCAACCCAAAGGCTAAACCTCAATAACTCAGCGACGGTAGAAGTGAACTTTAAAGCTCAGATTAAAAAGCCCGCGCTCGGTTTCCCGTGAAGGGTATCGGATCCGCTGTCCTGGATCCTAACTACTGTCATGCAATAGAGATTTCGAGGTCTGAAGACCTTACAATGGAAGCCGACATAAACACAGAACCCTAACATGCCAAACTGTACAACCTTAGAGCACAAAAGCCGCAAGAGTCGAAATCTTTTAACTCTCTAGCTTTCGTTACCTCCAACTCTGTACTGTACAAGTTGTGAAAATGATGGACATGCTAGTAACTTCTACACTAGACGACACCGCTATACAAATGCGAAGGAAGCGCCAACAAAAGCAACTCCAGAAGCCATTTGGGGGTTTCCGAAAATTAGGGGACCCCAGGATGGTACCCTAAACAATAGGATCCTTATTATAAGGACCCCAAAATAAAAGATGGTACCCTAAATAATAGGATCCTTATTATAAGGACCCCCAAAATAAGGTACCCCTAATTTTCGGAAACTCCCATTTCTTGCGGCCAAGCTTCGAGAATCTTCAGCCTGGGCTTTTCGCTGAAGATGCGCGAGTAGTTATGTGGCTAGGGTTTAGGGTTTAGGGTTTGGGGTTTAGGGTTTAGGGTTTTTTCGGGCTGAGGGTTTACTATCCTAGGCTTTCGGGTTTAGGGTTTACTATAGTAGGCTTTCGGGTTGAGGGTTTGCTATACTAGGCTTTCGGGTTTAGGGTTTACTATCGTAGGCTTTCGAATTTAGGGTTTACTATAGTAGGCTTTCGGGTCTAGGGTTTGCTCTAGGGGTTTTTGGGCATATGTTGCACATAATCATAGTATTGGTGGGGGGGTTTTCAGATACACCCATGGGGGTAGCAACTTCTGCAGCCCCCTCGGGTTTTTTCTAGGTTGCTGAGGATTGCCCTACACCCTAAACTCTGGGGCTTACAGCCCCACGTTGTTCTTTCATGCAAGCTACATGTAAGCGGGCAATCTACGTGTAGAGCTCGGAATGCTAGAGAAGGCCGCCGCACCCCTCCCAAATTCCTAAACTCAAACCCTACACCCTCAAACCCAACTTCCCCAAAGCTCATACAAATAATAAACCTACTACAAAGTCCTACAACCC